TATTTTTTCTACGGAACTTTTACCATCTCCACACTATATATTTTACTTATTGTTATATCTTCTTATTTTTGAATCTCCACATTGAAATGTAAGCTCCATAGTGACAAGGGATTTTTTTCTGTTTTGGTCCCTACAGGGGAGTGCCTAGGACAGTGCTGGCACCCAGTAGTACTTAATAAATATATGTTGAATGAAAGAATCATTGCCTAATACAGTTCTTGGAGTACAGGAAGGGCGACAAATTATTAGTTCTGAAATAGCCAACATGGCATTTGCCAGTGGGAACCACTTCTGAGATGTGGCCAGAGGTGGGGGTTACCGAGTAGAGGAAAAGTCTGTTGAAACTGAAGAAGACAAGGAGGCCCTGGAGCCAGCGTGTTGGGTGGGTCTTCCACATCAAACCTCTGCTGCAAAATGAAGCTAGGGAGTCAGGTGGAGAATGGGATCAGAGGGGCTGCCAGCCTCTCCAAGCCTGTAGATAAATGCAGAGGAATACACCATACATCAGTGGAATGAGCAGATGGCTGCTTTCCACAATGGGAGCAGGGGTTAGCAGGGTAACACCAGGGAGTTGGGAGAACTCAAACATTGCCTCGTAGTCCCATGACATATGGCTCCCAGAAGACTGAAGATCTTTCCGTGGAGAGTGCTGTGGGAGAAGAGATGGCCCTGGAGAGAGCTGGGATTCAGTTAAGGAAACAGATGTGCCAGTTCAGCAGAGAGCCTGCAAAGGTAGAGAAGGGTGTTGCTAAAGACGTGCCTTCCCGAAGGTGTGGCAGTAAGAGCAGCAGACAGGAGCATGGGGCAGTCTCGAGATGAGCGTGCATGTGGCTGTGTGCACAGAGGACAGGGATGCTATTTGGAACAAGGACACTCAAGAATGTGTGGTTGTAGGTTATTATTTTTTTTCATTACGAGATACAAGATGACTTTGTAATAAGCTAACCAAAGGAGAGGGACAGCACATTTCTAGAAACACCTCCAAATGCTCCAGGGAATTATTCAAATATCTAGCAGTCACATCATCTCCGTGTTATGGGAATAGCTTTCCCTTCCTTCAGTCTTCAATAGGATATACTCCTGGATGAATGAATTTTAAAAGTTACTACCTTTTGTAACCTTTACTTTTTTTAAAGTCCAACTTAAATAGGTTAAAATTTCAGTGAAATTGTATATAAAAGTAAAACATGAAGACAAGCTTTGGAACTCTTGTGAGTTGGAAGATTTTTCTCTCTCTCTTGCTATGCTAACTTTGGAGTTGGGAAGCATCTCATGGTATCTCCAAATAAATTCTTAAGGCAATGTTCACTAGTTAGTTGGTTGGTTGGTCAGTGGCTCAGATACCCATAGGGTAACCACAATGCCTAGAGGACTGTAAGAACAAAGCAGTGGATAAGACAGGCTAAGGTTTGGAACACTCTGAAAACATTATTTAGATGACAACAATTAATATTCTAAAGGCTATTTAGAACAGATGGATATTTTGATCTGGGAGTTTTTCTCCTTCTTCTGAATTCCTTGAATAAAGAATTAACAATAATCATAATATTATTAATAACAAATGTGGGTGAAGTCAGAGTGCCCTAGGAGAATATACCAGAAGTGCTGTTCAATAATACATGTTGAATGGCAGCCTCTAAGGGGTTTAGAATTTGGGTAGGAGCACTATTCCCAAGACATTTTAACGTGCACTGTTTCAGTGTCACTTTGTCATCACAGCAGAAAATTAAAAAATCATTCTGGGTTGCACCAGTGAAAAATTCCTGAAAGATTAATGTAAATAAATGATGAAAAGAAAACATTTTCTATTCTTAAAATACAGCCATTCTTGTGACATTTTTAATTTCAGGTGGTAAGGTGTTATTTTTAGTTTCTCCTAAGTCTTCCCTTGAAGTTCATTTTGATGTACTTTTATTTGCATGAGCATTTCCTGATGAAATAATAGGGACACACATTCATGACATGGCTGCGCCTATAATCCCTTGGGAAGCCTTGTCTGTACTTCCCAGACTTGAGCAAAGTCCAAGCTGAAGGTAACACAGAGACTAGAGATTCCAGTTAATTTCTAGTTAAACCTCTTTCCTGCATGACCTCTCATGGACCAAACTGAGATGCTTAATGGAATTTGGATCTTACTAAATAGAATGGCGATGTTACCAATTTTAGATATCCAGAAATCTACTAACAAACATTTTATTTTCCTAAAAAGAAAAAAGAATGTGGTTCACATCATTATTCCATACGTTTATTAATACTTATATTTGATCAATGATACATATTTTAAAAACAAACTAACAACCAACAGTTGTCTGTAGATTGGTACCTTCAAAAAGAAAAGTCTCTCTCCCTCTCTCTGTTTAAAGAAATCCAAACCAAAACACATGCAAACAAGCCAATAGACACTCTAAAGCCAAAACAAACCACAACAGCAAAAAAGTTACCAAAGATGTTTTTTGGACCCCCAGACATTACTTGAAGGCTGCTGGCAGCATATTGCTTACTTCCCTGGTTAACATGGTAGACCACAGCTGCTGCTACGGCCGGACGGAACCAGAGAAAGGGGCAGGTATTGGCTGTATGTCAAGATCACCAACCTATTCAGCCAGAACTTCTCCTCTGAGATGTGCTGATCAGTAAAAGATACCTGGCCACTTTTTAACTCCATCTGATTCAAACAGAAAGTTTAGATGTTCATAAGTTTGTAAATTTTGCACCTTGGTTATTACAAAATTTACGGCCCGAGGCAATGAAGATTTCCGACATCATGTGAAAAGTATGCATCCTCCTTTAAAAACTGCCTATCCACCCCTTCTGTGCCTGAGCCTGGACAACACATCGAGCGTTGGGGAAGTTTTAAATCAGACAATACTCTCTGCTGCTATCCACGCTACTCCATGCTAAGGACTTCTGTCTCTGGGACCACTTTGTAAGGAACGTTCACTGTTGAGAGAAAAAAAGCCATACTGCACAAACTACTTAAAAATCTGTATCGGTCATTCCTATTTTTAACATTGCGTTAAAACATACACTTAAATTACCAAAGTTCTCTTTGTTGTCATGAAATACAAGGGCAAGTTCAATATTTATATTCAGTTCTAGGTTATAGTATTTTCTGGCCAACTTTTGATCCCATTGTTTAAAATTGTAGAAAGTAGAGACTTAACTGAAACATTATGTGTAAGATAGCCCATTAATTAAGTTAAATTACTTCATTTTCCCTACACCATTAGTTTAAATGAGCCATTTCATCAAATGCCTGGCCTGTTAAAATGATTCGGAATTTAAATATGGAACAAAAGAATGCTAACACTTAATAAAGAATATAACAAATTATCCAACATCGAGGTTAGAAATCTGACATTATACTTATGCATATTTTTTTTAATCTTCTAAAATGGCAAGTCCAGTGGTGGTTGTCCAGTTTAAAGTCATTCCAGTAGCAATTTCAATTTCAGAAGATGTAAACAGAACTTACTAAAAATACTCTTTTCTCTTTTCCTTATTTTTCTGATCTCCCATGCAGCATTCCTTGTCGTAAGAATATATTTGTGTATTTATATTTCACAATAGTGGATGTTAAATCTGAAATATTAATTATCTACAGCAAAGTTACATGCCAATTCCAGCCAAAAATGTCCCTATATTTGTTGCATTGCATTTGCAAAAGAGTTAGGAAAGAGCCCTGGTTGACAGAGTTAAGTTCCTTGCCCAAAATAGTTTTTGTTTTTGTGTTTTTTTTTTTCAATTTAACACAGTTAATTAAGTAACCAATATTAACTGCATATTAGCTTTCATTTTTTTTAATATGAAAGATTGAAGATCTCATACAAACCAAATTCATGGAATATTTTCTTTAGTATTGAATATTTTCTAAGTAGCCATAGCATTTTTATATAGCAAACGAAACCAGGTCTTTTGATGAGAACTGGGATTTCGAAATGCGGATGGGGAGAAAGCAGGAGGGGAGGACAAATTAGAATCTGGTATGCTATGTACTACTTACCTTCAAAAGTCAAATAAAACTTTCCTCTGTCAAACCAAACGAGGGAAGGCTGTTCATTCTCTGTATGGCCAGGAGTTGAAGCGGGATGGGGAAGGTTAAGGAGAAGGAGAGAGAAGGACACAGTATGAGTTACAGAGCAGGTCATTAATCTCACTGTGGGGGAGGGCGGAGGCACTGCATGCCATTAGCGTGCAGGAAAAAAAAAGGGAAGGCTGGCAATCATCTTTTTTTTTTTTTTTTTTTTTTAGTTCAGGAAAAAGAAAGCAAAAGCAAAGCTATGGAAGCCTGAAGGGATGGGCACGTGTGGCTGGTAGCTTGGTACTTGGTGCTTGTGCGTATGGAGCAGAAGTCTTCCTGGCCATGCAGGGGCGTCAGCGTATTTTAACTGCACTAGTTTGGGCAAACTGTCATTCAGCAATTGCTGTATCCATTACATCTTCAATGTCATCCCCTTCTTTGTTTTCAAAAAAATAAACTCGAAGTTATGGGTTATATAAAACTTAGCTTAGGTTTTAAATGACAACAGCATTGCATATCAATTGAAAGTTCATGGAAGATGTCATATATCTTCCGTCCCCTCCCCTGAAATCACCTTAGGCATCCAGACACAAAACACCCTTTACCTACATACCAAAGAGAAAGCAAGGTTACTAATGGTGCTCTATTCTATTCTAAATTAAAAAGACATCACTGAACAGGTAATTCTGAGCAGTTAAATTATTCCTCCCTTTGTAAATTCACAAAGCAATAGCATCCCACCTTTTTCGACCCTTTTCACTGAGAAACTGTCATGCAACCTGCTGCTTTTTAATATAGTCACTTAAAAAACATTTCAGTGGCATGAGTTCCACAATGAACAGTAGATAGATAGTGCATCTGAGAGGCACTGGACACTCATGAGGTGAGTAGCATGTCCATGAAGTTTAGCGTTCAGATGGCATAATGGCTTGGATTTTTAAAGTCTAGATATCTAAAAATCACTCGGCTAGCACCATACCTGCAGGCGTTTCACAGCGCCTTTCAAACGAGGGCAGTTTGTCATAAAAAACATCATCTTCTGACACTACGAACCAAAGAAATATAAAAGAATGGAAAACAAAAACACAAATACAAATCTCAAATGAACTCAAGCAGCACACTTTACTGATCGAAACGCAGAAAAGATTTTGATGGAAAAAGGAAACAAAACCTAAGACACTGTGATTATGGACAGGGTATAAAAAGTGACGTGCTTATTTCATGATAAGTCTATGAGAAGAAACTGAAAATTTTAAAATGCCAGGTTTTAGCATCTGTGAATTCGCTGAAATCAGCTTCATGGAAGAAATCATGCTCCTGCCTTTTCAGGGAGTTGTTAAAGGCATTATCATTAATAATTGACTTGTGCAAATGTATTTCACTCAGACGCAATTCTCAAGTGGCCAGACATATGTCCATCAACAGAAACTCCTGATAGAGTGCTGACAGCTCGGTGGGATCACCCCAGCATGCACCTTCCTCGCCATGGGGAAAGAGGAAGCTTTTAACGAGACCATAAAAATGCAACACTATAAATCTGAGGTCCCTGAGTGAAGTATCCCATTTCAGCTCCATCAATATCCAGATTTAGTTTGTCTTGCACCTGTCTTTGGTAGTTATGGATGGGTAATTTTGAACAGCATGATTGTAATTCCATAATTGGCTCTGGAAGCAAGCATCATCAAATGTCTTTGTAAATTGGTCACAACAGTTGCTCTGAACCCCAACCATTCCAGATCTTTGCATGTGCTCTCCCTTCTCACCAACAAACAAATGCAGATAATTGAAGTTTTACTCTATTTGATTTAGATCAATCAATGCCACAGGTCTGAAGGGTTATAACTTTAATAGAAAATTGAGTAAATTCTGTACAAAGAGCAATGAGGGAGATTCTTCCTTACAATGCAGAGAAGTAAGATAAAGAAATGGATAAGGGTAGTAAAATTACTTCATAAACAACGTTTCTTGGAAAATAGTCTACTAGCTTGCCTCCTAGACTTAGTAAGGCAGGGAAATTGCTTCTTTGCAATTCTTAGGGCTCTAGGATATCACCTGTCAATCAGTTTTTATTCATACATGTGGCTTCCTTGGTGGCTAGAACAAGTGAATGCAATTCCTTTAATATCTGTAGGAGAGGAGCAGGAGCCAGCACTAACACCGACGCTCCATATCTCCAGGAAATCGGAAGTGAAACAGGAACCTTGGCAGAAACTGAATGTAACAGTGCTTTTTCATACCTGCTGATGGGGAATGGTGGAGAATATTTCTTTCTTTTGAAAAACTAAATTTCTGTTTACAATCTCCTCAAAACGAGGAGCCTCCAATTCTGCCATTTGTCCTTTGAGCTGAAGTTACAAAAGAATAGTTCATAAGCGTTGAATAGCATGCTTAAAAAATTTTTTTTTGTCATGGTTGTGGACATTGAGGACTTAGAAGCAAATGTACTAAATCAATCAGGGAACTTAAAAAATGGGTCACTGGGTAACTCTGCTGGATTTAAACAAGGGTAGCACTCAAATTAAGTACCGAACAAAATTGTCCTTAAGAAAGAACCATGGAAATTGCCTCAAATGGATCTGGGATGGGGACTGGCCAGACAGCTAGCACTGGAGACAGGCTTCCCACCCCCCCCCAAAAAAAAGCAGAAAGAAGAAAAATACTAAAATTAAATGTGGGGATTTTAAATTGAGATTAAGAATACCCACCTCCAAAGGTCTTTCTTTTTGTGCAGAATAATTGATGTTAATACAGATTTTTGTTTTTTTCAAAACAAGATTATCCAAGTCAGAATTGCCACCCAGCTTGGAAAGACAAAGGCTTGGAGGAAATATTTCAAGTTTTAGATGTTATGGTTAATATTCCAGTACTGAATACAAATCACTTTTGCTCAAAGCTCTACACCAAAGGAAGCATCAAAGTCCAGCTGATACTTCCTTTGGTGTCCATTGAATGTCCATTCATTACAGATTCCTGGGATGTTAAAGATGCAATTAAAAATGCATAATTAACAGTGAAGGAATATAATTAACAGTGAATTTAACAATAAAGAAAGATTGTTTTTATGGTGGTCTTTTTGTATTGGGGTACCAAAACAGGGTTTTGCAAACATTTTGAAAAATGACTATCACCATAGAAATAAAAAATAATAAATTGGGTGTTTACAACTAGAGATAATTCCCTGTTCATCTCTTAATGTCTAGGAGTTTGTTTCTTAGAATAACTTCAAGCATTTTCTCTATTTGCATATTAGTATTCGGATTTTTTTTCCCAAAATCAAATAGTGAAGATCCTGTGAGCTTTTTTAGTATAAAAGGAGTTTACTGTATTTCATTGACTCTAATCTGTGCACTTTTTCACATTTTAACCTCTCTGAAATTGAGATGGGTCTTAAAATCAATATAAGAAAGTATTGCACCTTAACTCAGTTGGCAGCCCTCCCCTCCCTTTCTTAGTCACACATGAAATGATAGTGCATCTCCTATTGGAAAGTATCTTAAATTTAGTGAAGTACAGCTGCAAGGGAACACTTTATTTTTTGAATGTGACAGTGCACAGAAAGTCTTCTTTTCAGATGTGGCATCAGGTTTACTACGTTATAAATCATGGGTCTCGTGAAAGATTTCAGGCTCAAAGCCTTTCAGGGGCATATTCTTATACGACTCGTTGTGTAGGAAGAACAGGCTTGCTCTTAAAAAGTTAGTCCTCAAATTATATTAAACTCTGCAATAGGCAAGTCTAAATCATTAAGCGCAAAGTTTCCACCACACTTGCCCAAATTTTGGCACAAGTGTCTTAGAAAATGCAAAAAAAAAAAAAAAGAAAGTATTGTGATGGAAGGGACATGTTGAACCACCAATGTCAAGAATTTGCTGTTGAAATTCTCTGTCTCCCCCAAGCCATTTGACTACATTCAGTTGACATTCCAAGTCAGTCACGAACAAAGCATATCCTCTCCAAAAAGAGATCTACCAACACTGCACAAGGTCCTGCTCGGCTGTCATTGACAGCGTATGGACTTCAGAGAGAAGTGGCTGTCAGGCGACCCGCAGCAGCAGGAAATACAGAACAAGACAGTGAGGAAGATGGAAACCAAATAAAAATAACAGAACCAAACAGATTAAATCAGAATGCTCCTCAGCAATGAAGCAATGTGACTGTCCTCTCAGGTGACGTTTTTCTTTTTTCAGCCTCTCTGTGGTGAAAGAATGCAGCCTTAGCTGGGTTAAGTATCAAAGGCACTGGCCAGGATTTGAGATTTCTGCAGCAGAGAGCGTAAAAACACATTGCACAAAACACAGACACAGTTCCAATTCCCTGTGCGGTGTTCTCTTTGAATCTCAGTGAGTTGAAGGAAGATGTTAGATGGTCATCTGAGGTCACTTGAGGTCTGCGTTCTGAGTGACAGTTTATTATCCTAACTCTGAGCAACCAGCAAAATCACATGGAGTGAGTGGAACAAATGATCTTGAGGAAAAAGAGCAACAGAAAAACAACAGAGCGGGAGTGGGGGCAACGCTGTAGCCATGAGGAGTATTAAAGAGACTTCAAAACGAAGGTTGGGTGGTACAGAAACAAAACAAAACAAAACAACAACAAAAGCCAGAGAGAAATGAGCTAATAGGCACCTAAAAATAGGGAGCCCCAAATTGCCCCAACTGGTGATGCAGATAAAGAATAGACTTGGCTATATGAATAATGTTAAATATCTATCTGTGATATTTGATGCATCATACAAAATTGGATAGCTGGCTCTATTTTCACCAAATCTGAAGAATTCTTTTGAGCTGGTCTGATTAAAAACATAGAGCACATGATATGATTGGATTTCTCTTTGGGGGCCTAAAAGGCACACCTTAACTTACTTCCCCGGGGTACTGGGGATTTCCTCCCCAGAAGGGCTTCAGGCTTTCATCAAATTACTTCTCACGTGGGCAACTCTGTAGCGTGCTCTCTTTGGCAAGTAGCAGCAGGAATCTATTTAGCTTTGGTTAATGATTCTCCCAAGCAATGCAGGATGGGCCAGCTGGTTTATAATACGGGAGACTTGGCAGAAGTTAGGACAAGAAAGGAAAACAACGGGGAAAATGAAATGGGAAAGCCCAGGTCGGAGACACCATGCAAATGTGAGAGGCAGCAGGAGCCAGGAAAGGTGGGGAAAGAGGTGTAGAGAGAGACCAGCCTTGGGAAGAGGGCAGATGCTCCAGGCAAAATGAGGCATTTAAACCTGGGAAAACCATCCAGCTGAGCAGCCAATCTCAACTCTTCACTTTCATCACACCATAAGGAAAGAGGCACAAAAGGCATTTACTGAAAATGCCATCAGTGACTTATTTCTTAGGGAAAATTGACCACACATCACTGAAAAGCACTAGAAAAAATGTCAGAAGCTTTTCTCAAGTCCCACAATGCCCATGTTTACACCATCTGTCAACAGAAGGAGAACCGAAGTGATGAAGAAATGGAAGCTTCAAGAAAATAAAAGTTCTAAATTTTGTGATTTCTCATGTGTCACACCGTCAGAATTTAAATAAACGCTCTCCCCTCAAAGGAGACTATTTGCATTCTAAGAAATAATATCTAAATTACAGCATCTTACTTGACGATTTCTTCTTTATTTTTATGAATAGCTCTGTATGGAAACAGCCTAAGAGCATTCCTGCAAAACACAGGTGTTCGTATCCTTTTGTTTATTTGCTTAGTTAAAGCACTTTGCCTTCTTTGCTGAGAAGGTGCTTTTAAAAGAAGAGTCAGATGATAGTAGCAAAACACACAGCGAAACAATTTTGACCAGAAACATAAGATTCTAGGGTTTTCAGATCATTAAAAAAATAGCCAGTCAAAACCACAAATGGATTAAAAGAGAGAAGATAATTTTTACCAACTGTGGGAGTAGTGGCTGCACTCAAGGAATTGGTGGACGATATTGAAGAAGTGCTTTCAGCCCGGGCAAGGGGTGCTATCGGAGGAGGGCTGGAAGAATGTATGGGAGGGCTGAAAGGTCGGGGCTGCGGGGAGAAGAAGAGAAATGGAAAGTTAGAGTCACGGGTCTTCGTTCCATATTTTGAACATTTCTCAGCCCCAGATATGACAACCCGGGTTCTTAAGAGGACTGATGGCACCATTTTTACCATGAAATTGGTTATATCTATATAGGAGCTTGTGGATGGTGCTAGAGGAAACTGAAACCACAATGCGCTACACTCAACAGGTACCTCACATTTAGAGAAGCTGAGGTCTGGGATACGGTCAGTGATGTTTCAGGACGGCAGACTCACATGCCCTCAGGGACTAAGCAAGTAACATAATGTGAGAGTTCATACCCACTTAAAGATATCTGAGTACAAAATATTGTACTGTGCTATCTAAATCAAGTATCATGGATGTCACCAGTCTGTAAGTCCTATGTGTGGGTACCAAGGAAATTTACCTCTGCCGGAAGTCTTTTAATTGTTCACACAGAATGTTTTCCACCTCTCAGAATTAAAACACGTATAAGAATCTTCCAGAAAAAAAATCACTGGGCCACCATCCTCCTTTTTATTCAAGTAGTGTGCCTACCACCAATATCTCTGTAGTCTGGGGACAGAAATCAGGACTTTGCCTCCCTTGGAGTCTTCCAAAGTCAGATCCGTATGATGAAAAGAAACACCTCCTGTTCTTAAGGATTTAGCACAGCCAAGCATTACTATCTTAATTTGCATCAAATCCGCTATGGTGCTGTCCCACCATTTTAGACCTTGACTTGAAAGATGGCAGAGATCTGAGGATGACTGAAATGTACACTCTTACTGCAGTGACAATCTTTCAGATGCCACCCGGCAGGGCCATTTGGACAAGTACTGTAAGGCTTAGACCTGAAGTTATGATGACCCGTGTTAAGGCATTTTGGCTCCTGCTGGTAATTCCCACTGGATGTTTCTGAGCCAGCCAGGGCAGAAGGGAACATACCACATCGCCGACTCCAGGCTTCCCTGGAGGTAGCTTTGCCCGAGACGGAGGCCGAGGAGGAGGCGGAGGTGGGGTGGTGCTACTGCAAGGAACCAAGGGGGTGGCTGGCCGAGCAGGGGATGATGCACCTGAAAAACAAGCTGGCATTAAAAATGGCAAGAGACGTACGTGGCCAAAGTGCTGTCATCATTTGGTCCCGCCCTCCCAGCTCCCACGGCACAACATCAATCACCACACTTCCTTCACTTCAGCAGTTTGTGAGGTCAACACTGGAGCACATGGGGTTTTGGGGCTTTTTTGGGGTTTTTTTTTTCAATAACGAAAAAAAATCACTCAGTTGAACTATGGTTGATGGCAGAAGCTGAAGCTCATTGCCTTTTGTTGTCATGTGACACCCAGGGAAAGGTAAATCCTTTTATTACTCTCTGTGAGGGAAAGTATATTCTTCAGACCCTTTTGGCTGGCTGGGTGGGTAGCTTTCATTTTCACCATGCACACAGACAACTTAGGAAAAATTTTCTTGATTTTTACATATCCAGAATTTATGTCCAAGATGAAAATGGAAGTTCGAACTTGAAAAAAAAGAATGACCTTTCACATTTTATATACATATACATATATACATATATATATATATATATAAGTATATATAAACATGTAGAAGAGCATTATCCTTTTTACTGTACTTCGAAAACATGAGTGCTAACTTTGTAAATGTCAGCAAACACTGGATGGTAAGCAAAGGGACAAGCTGTAAGAATGGAAATCAGATGTTACGTGCATACTTTGTGTGTAGTGTCTTAACGGAAACACGTTGAATTTAGAGGATTTTATCTTTTGAAGGACGATGTGTGGGAATCTGTCTACGGAGAGGTTGCCCACGATGATTTCTGTGGTAATTTTTTAAAGAGCCTCTTGGATTTACTTTTCTGGCTGTCAATGACAAGCATGAGAAACACAGAGGACACACAGAGGCCGGCATGCACACTAATCAGCACACCAGGAGGGTCTCTGGCCTCGGGGGGCCGCCTATCTTCAGTCATAGTCTGGGATACGAGGGTCAGTTGCTCAGCAAACAATCTTAAGAAAGTCAAATCAATATTCCATATAGTTCTTATTAGTCAGAAACGTTCCAGCTACTCCTGAGGTTTTTTTCACTTTGGTTTGAAGCACAGGTATCAAATTATTCTAAGAAATTCTGCTCCAGGAAAGTGCCCGCCCCCTCCCCACCTCCCCGCCAACCCACTATAAATCTCTGCTGTTTGGAGAATCCTAGACCCACACCTCCATCTCCAGATTTTCACACTAAGGAGCTTTGAAGGTGAGCAGCGAAACCCAGCATCTCAGCATCTGCTTCCATCCTAGGAGAGTCCTTGGGGATGAACCTTGCTCCTTTGTTTAAACAATTTGAAATCTCGCGTGTGTTGTGTTTCTTTGTGCTGTTTATTTTAAGCATAATTGCATTAGTGTGAAACCCCACTAATTATTACCACCCATCCCTTCCGCTGCCTCCTCTCCATCACGACCACCCTTTCACTGTATTCTCACTTTTTATTTTATTGGGCCAACATCTCTACTAGGCCCATGAAATGCATTATCTATTTTATGTCCACAGTACGCATTGGAGGAAGGTACTTCTACTGTCTCAGTGCAAACTAAAGCTCAGAGATACTCAGTAACTTGCTCAAGGTCACAAAGCTCAAATAGTGTCTTAAACTCCAAGCCTGAGCTTTTAAATGCAGTGTCTTGTGGACTTTGGTGGTCTTCAGCCTCACATTTTGCACAAAGCCTGGTCTTATTTTGGCACGGGCAGATTGCATGAATTTCTCTCAAGATAAATATTCTTAGTTTTCAGCTAATCTTCCCTTGAATAAAGAATAGGGTACACTTTGACAGGTTCCACTACAAATAGATTTTCACCCAGAATATTTTCAGAAAACAGAAGTGATAGCAAAGAGATGGGAAATGAACCTTTACACAGTAACGTCTTTGTCAGGAAGTTCTATGGGGCTTTTTGGTGGGGGTTCTACTTCGCTGGGAACCCATGCTGCAGCTGGTTCAAAATGTCTACCCAAGGGTCTGTTTCCAAGAAACAGTCTTCTGAGTCAATTTCAGGAAAAGGTCAGCTGCTTATCCTTTTCCTACAAGTTCCAGAAGGGAAATTAAAAAACCCAGTTTCAGTAATACTTGGGCAAGTAGTAAAGGGGTGCCATCCAAGCGTGTGGATTATTGAAAATACTGATGAGAAGTCAGAGGATCTGAGTTCTGGCTCCGCCGACTTCTTACCAGTTGTGGGACCTTCACCTTCCTGAGCCTCAGCTTCCGGTTTTAAGAAATGAGACCTGTTTCTACCTGGAAAGTAGTTGTAACAGTTGAAATGGAAAATGCTTATTAATGTATTCACTAAACTGTAAAATGCCATGATGTTGATGGTAAAGTTTGTGTTTTTTGTTGTAGATTCAACTGAAAACAAAGTAAAAAAGAGCTGGTTCACTCATTTCCTTTTCCTTTTTGGACAGCCTGCTCAACTCACTTTTTCTTCACTGAATTGATTAATTGATTTGTTGTGCAGTTCGAAGCCACCGAGGGAATGTTTAAGAAGCAAAACCTTGCTTGGCAGAGCTCACCAGTTCAGTGGAGGGTATTTCACAACTGAACTAAAGCTTCCCATGCTTCTGTGAGATTACACAATTATTGTGTATTGTACGGGTGTAGAGGGTTATTATATTTACATCTCTCTCCTCATTCTTTGATCTTCAGTTATCCTTTTATTTCCCCTTCAAGCAGTGTTTGTTCCCAAGAACGATGCTGGAAAATAACTGAACATCGTTTAACTTTAACATATACATTATTTGAGTTTTGTGAGTTCCAAAAAGTTGGCAACCTTTGACCTGCTCTCAATCCATCTGCTGCTCTCATCCTGAGGTTCCATCGTAGCTTTTTTGGTAAACCCTGAGAACCACATTTAACGACAGCTTCAACTTGCATCTGTGTGTGTGTGTGTGTGTGTGTGTGTGTGGGGGTGGCGCAGGGATCGAGGGCAGCTGGGAAGTGGTAAATGGAACCCAACAGATCTGGGATCAGACAGATCCTGGCTTTGCTAGTTACTAGCTTTGTAACTGTGGCCAAGTTCTGTGTCTGAGCTTCCGTTTCCCTGCCTATAAAATGAGGCTGATACATCACAACGTTGTGAGGAGAATCAAATGAATTACAACATACACACTTCAAAATATGTAGACTCAAACACCCTTTCCCAAATTCTGTTTCTTAGAACACAGTTGCATCACTTTTTGGAGAAAGTTTTAAATATGTATGGGAATGGTTTCATACAAAGTTTCTTTTTTGGTGACCAGTTAGAAGCCCTAAAACAGTCCTGTCCAACAAAGCTTTCCACATGATGAAAATGTTCTAGATCAAGTGCTGTCCAATAAGATAGCCATTAACCACACGTGGCCACTGAGCACTGCACTGTGCTGACGGCATCTAAACAACTGATTTTAATTTTAATTTTAATTAATTACCATTAAGATTAAAATAGCCACAAGTGCCTGGTGGCTTCTACATTGGACACTGCCGTTCTAAAAAGACTTGTAGTTAGGAGATATATTTGTTTAATTCAACCCCTGGTAGCTCAAATTCATTTGTTTATGGGTATGTCTGTATGTATCTGGTGGGTTTAACAACTTTTAATATTGCTTTAGTTTCCCCAGTTGGAAACTGTTGCACTGAGCAATCTATCTTTATTAAATGCCTCTTTTTCCCTGGCCTCCAAATTTGCTGCGGGCCATTTCTCCACTCCACCCCTGGGCACACAGCCCACACAGGAGAAGTGATAGCCTTTGCCAAGAATCAGGGTCTGCATCCCAGGGAAGCAGTGTTTTGGCCAAACTATGTGTTTTTAACTTTTGCCATAAGGAAATTAAAGTTCTTGTTGCAAACTCTTAAACTCCATCTTTTTCCGCAGCAGGTAACTCTTCTGATTCCTGAGGCTGTGAGTACTGCCTGAACTCAGTCAGTGATTATCATCTCGCTGTGAACGAAACTTTAAAAGTAAGCATAATGGTATCCAGTTAAATATAGTCTGAGAAGTACAGGAAAAGTTCTTCTCATCAGGTTACGTGTTAGAAAAAGCAGGCAGTGACAAGCCTTAGTAATCGCTAACACATGAGACCACAGCCTATTGTTTTAATCCCAACTTTACATTTCTGCCCATCTGTGTGTATTTCATTAATAAAAGATTAAGGAGCAAATAAACTGGGACTTAATTAAGGAGATAATGATGCAAAGTTTTATTTATTCATGAGCTTCATTGGCCCAGTTCAGTCTTCCACTTAGAAATTCAGTCTTTTAATACCAGCAAAGTATAGTTTTTTTTTTTCCAGCTTAATTATTAAGAATCAATAGTACTTACTGGTAACATTTTAAGGTAATTTTAAATAAAAGTCTGGAAGCTAAAACGTTAAAACAACAACAAAAATCCCAAGGATCCCAGAAAGCAACCTGTGCAGTATAGGTGGGTGTCAGTCTTAATTAAGTTTAAGATATTTTGTCACTAAACCTTACAAGCATGCCTGGGGGGCATAGCGGTTAAGAACACAGGTTTGGGATCAGACAGACCTGAGAATGAATCCCAAGTCTGTCACCTACAGCTGTATAAAGCTGGGCAAATTACTTAACACTCACCAGCCTCAGTTTTCCAATCTGCAAGATGGGGAAAATAAAAGTAATTACTATATGGGCTTGTTGTAAGGATGAAATGATGCACATAAAGCACCTGACATTGTGTCAGGACAAGAAACTGTGGCTGTTCTTACTGACAAAATGAAGGTTCCCCAAGGTCCTATGGTTAAGAAACCTGTTGATTTTGTTTTAACACAATGTTTTCCAAACTTATTTGAGTACTGAATTACTTCTCCCTTTTTTTGGAGGAGGGGAACCCCTAATGATATAAAACACTGGTTTTCTGTGCAGTACAGGTGACTCCAGTCCTGTCCTTGACCAGCATGGACGCTCTCACTGCAAAGCATGGAGCAATTTGCAAACACAGAGTGAGCACCGAAGGATTCTGCATTGAAAGTGGAAGCAATGATGACTATTAGAATAGGGACAGATGCCTTTCCTTTCTGCCTCTTACTAGATCTAAATAACTTAAACTTGGCCGCCTCTTTCAAAACAAATAAAAACCAAATAGCCATTGACATCCCTGGGAACCCACAGGAACAGGAGGGAAGGCACTGGACGATCTTGGCAGA